TTTACAAATTGTGTTAAAAAGTGAATTTTTGCAATGACTTTGTTCAAATCCTTGAAATTTACGCAAAGTTGAAACTTACTATTAGTTTTATATATAGGAATTAAGTTGGAAACCCATTAAAAATGCTTTATAGGATAGATAAAGTTTAAAGAAAACTTAACATATAAAAAAATTTATAATACTAAGAAGTTAAGAAAATTAATATATTAATACCTAAACTCAAATAATAATAATTATTATTATTATTATTAAATTAGGGAAGCATTATTTATTTATATGTGCTTACTTGGAATATAAATAAATATACAATACTAAGATTTTAAGAAAATTTATATTGAAATAAAGACTTTTACATAAAATCAAACACCTAAAATAGAATCTAATTTAATTAATTAATATTTAAATAATATAAATATTAGCAAAGAATTAGTTTACTATGTATTTTACTTAGAATATAGAACAAAAAAATTTTAAGAACACTAATACTACTACCTAGACCAGGTGAAACTAAGAAAAGAATTACAAAAACTATTTTTTATTAATACATGCTAAATGCAGACTAAAATTCCAAACCTAATATTCCAACTATTAAACTATATTTGTAATTAGTCAACATATTTTAAAATATTAGTGCTTAATAATGGTTGTAATTGTGAAAATGGTTGTTTATACTTCTATTGTTAAAGGTGTTTAATTTTTTTTGTAATAAGACTAAGCTAACCCATAACTTGAGCTGAACCTTATGTCTAAAATGTAAATCTCATGCCTATAACAAGGGATTTATATGGAATTAATGTAATTGCTCAATCTCAATAGATCAGTACAAATAAAGAATTGCCTTATCAATTGGTGAGGAGAAACTCTATCTATCAACCAAACATATACATAAAGAAGAAAAATGTATGATAAACTACTTAGTTATATGGTTTTAATTTAAATCAAAATGAATTTTAATCATAGTATCCAAGCTTTTTTATCTCTAGGAAATGATATTCTTAGCCTAATGGTTTTGCCACCTAAGCAACATCTACTGCACAATCACCAGTAGACTTGGTAGCCATGCCCTACAAGAACCACAAGACCTCTTGTTCTCGTACCCATAGGCTAAGTGGCATCTAATTATATTAGCTAATTGAGGTAATTCTTGGTTCAAAGGTTTCAACCACCTGAGCAACATTTGCTGCACAATCACCAATAGACTCAGCAAATATACTCTATGGGAACCCTAAGAGCTCTTGTTCTTGTGCCCATCGCATAAGGAGTTTTCCAGAAGCAAAAACAAATTAATAAGTGATGCAAAAGGGCCACAAACCCACAACAAGCAACATTTTTTTTCATCTGTTATCCATGGCTTATAATTCTCTGCCCCAATCTCCCAAATTTATGCCCATGAATTCAAATGATAAACACTCACCAGAGAATTGAATGCTAATAGCAGACTAGATCAATCAATTTCCCATGGCACTTGGTTGTTAGATAGCCATAGCACTCCACATGTCACTCCTTTGCTCATACTAGTCCAGCCTTAGGGAGAGAAGCAAGAACTTTTGCAAAAAGAATGGATAAGATAGTATATGCATGAGTTAAGCATGGTAGACTCAACATACTCATCCACAAACCATGGAGCTCTTGGGCCTCCATCTCTAGCACTAGGTGGCCATTGACCACCACTAACATCCCTATGCTTAAGCAGCATAAACTCTTAGGCCTCTATCTTTTAAGAGTCATAGATGATCTATGTGTTAAGAGAAGAAAATATTGCAAATGAGGAAAAAACACTAAAAACATGACCAAAAAAATAAATAAAAATGAAAGAGTATAAAGTAAAGAAAAAGGATTAAATGGCAAATTGAAGGATTTACATTTATCTGAAATTACTCATTACAATTTAAAACCACTCAATCTTGTATACATCATCTTCCTATAAACTTCATTTTTGAATATTCTTTAAATTTTGAATTATATCATCTATAACTCTCCAATTGATGTCACAATTATGCTCCATATTAATGAGAGATAATAGAACATTAAAAATAGGAGGCACTATTGTCCCATAAAGGTTGAAAGTGACAATACATTAAGGATGGACACAACATTAATATGATCACACTTTACAACATCAAAAGCTCAATTCAACAGAATAGTATTAGTAGCTTTAAGTGACACTCTTTCATCAATGAAGGCATGGCATAATGGAAGAAAGAAATGTAATCAAGATCAAATTGAAAAACAAAGTTAAGTATAATAATAACTAGAATTCCATTTTTAGCAAGATGTTAACATAAATTTAGATCTAAAAGAGAATGAAGGATTATAAACAAAAACATGATCTTGAATATTAGAGTAAAGCACTATATTTATATATATACATACATACATACATATATATATATATATATATATATATATATATATATATATATATATATATATATATATATATATATGTATGTATGTATGTATGTATGCATAACATACATATATACATGCACACATACATACATACATACATATATATAAACACATATAACTAATACTAAAAGAGCTGAAGTTTGTGGGCTGCCAGATCTGGCCAATCAGCACCATTAGATGTGGGGCAACTTAGTAAATATCATTTTTTTATTACACATCCTTTGGAAATATTTTTGTGAGGTTTCAGCCAGCCAATAAACACATAGCACAGCCCAAGCTGGGGGAGGTGTTAGTGACACCTGTTTGTTTGTGCGGCCCAAACTCTCTTTTTACCACAGCTCCTCCCAACTGCAAAATTTTGAGCAGAAGCAAGAGAGTACCTAATGCCTGATTTTTAATCTTGTATTAAATTTAATATTTTTTCTCCTCCTCATGGATAGTGAATGTATGTATGAAACTAAAATTTAACTTCTGTTTTGTTAAATTTGGTATTAAGTAATTTCCTCTATTCCAAAGGTTAAATCACTTTTGTTAAAGTTTCAAGTTGAGTGTATGTCTCTAGTTGTAAATGCCATTAAAAGCTTTTATTTTATTGTGGCTACTAAAGATATTATATGTTCCTTTCAAAGTTTGGTTTTTTCAATTAATTTCCCCATTTCAAATATTGAGTTGTGTGTAGAGAAGATTGAGTGGTGTAAATCTCTTTTTTATCATGTGATGACTAAAGTATTTTATACTAAGAGATCTTTTATTTTTCAAGCTTTGAACTCATTTTCTTGTTATTATTTCTTCATTTTTTCCTTAAAAATTGAAAATTTCTCTTTTGGTCCTTATTATCCACTTTTTCTTCTTCCATAATATTTTTTTCTCAATTTATCTCACTTTATTAACACTTTAAACTTTTTTTCTTTATAAAAAGGGGTAGAAGGGATGGATGAAAATTCAGACCCAATAATAAAGTAAGGATGAATAAATATAGTAATAGAGTGAGAATGAATAATATAAATTATGGAGTGATGAAGAGCATAACAAGTATAAATTGAAGATAATCTATCCATTTTTGTATAAAAATAGTGAATCTAAACCTTAATTAATATATTTATTCTCTTTTTCTATCAATCACACACATATATTTGTGTGTATATTATAATATGTATGGAAAAGTAAAAAAAAATTATATTTTATATTTTGATATAAGAAATTATGGTATATATTATTTAAATAGAGATATAACAAGTTATTAATTGTATTGCATTTTTTATGACCCTTGCCTATAAATTAATTTACTTGCATCTAAAAAAATTTAATTCTATTTAATTCATTTGTTGAGTTATTTAGAAATGGTCCAAGAATATACTTACTATATGTCACTTTAACCAAATAAAAAATTATTTTTTTGCTATATCACTTTTTTGTTTTATAACTTTACAACTTGGTAAATGAGAAAACATACATCTATACATTGAAAAACAATGTATTAATTATCATAATTATTATATTATTTTGTAACATGAAACTTTGTAATTTTATGTTTCAATAATATATTATAATAACCAAAAATTTATTGTAAACCCCAACCTAATTTTGTATACCTTTCTTTAGAAAGTGTTTTTAATTTTTTTAAAACTAAAAATAATATATATTAAAAAACATTTCTAGCTTCACTTTTTTCTCATTAAAAAATACTTTTATTTATATATGCTTACTTGTGATATTCTACATAAGTTAAATATGGTACTTCAGGTATACTTTATTTGTATTTAATTCAAATATTAGCTGTTAAAAGTGTTAAGAAATATTTAAGAATATTCATAAGATTAATCAATCTAGAAAGCCTATTTACCTCGCAGATATTATTATCTTGTTATCCTTTCCTTTAGTGAGCAAAAGTTTCTACTAATTTAAATTTGTAACTATTGAAATGATGTAATTGTTTGAGGTTGTCTATATACTACAATCCACCATTTCATTGACTCCATTAAATGTTTGATTAATAATTCTAGTGTTGAAAGATATGTTATAAGAACACTTAAAAATAATAAAGGAAACAAAAAAAGTGCTAGTTTGAAAGTCATAGGTTGTTTAGCTATTTGAAAGTCATCCCCCTAGGTCTAAATTGTTGAAGGCTATTAATATCTCATTCTGAAATTGAAGTTATCATAAATATCAACACTCACTTGCCCCTTGGTGCTTGAGAATGCTGAATTGCTTGTTTTCACTACATTTTTAAGTAAGTATTTCTGAGATTTTTGTATTGTTTTGTTTATCTATTCGAATTTTGTGATAGATTTTAAATTTTATAAAAAGGTATTATTGTTGCTGAATTGCTCAACATGTGCCCTTCAAAGTGTGCGTCACCAAAAGCTCCCATTTGGTCTCAAATTGGTCCATGCAGTAGAGTAGCCAAGAACTAAACTCCCTAAAGTAGTCACCTTGATCTATAAGCAAAGGTGATTTCCGCAGCTGCGGCAACGTTCTTTGCAGTGAGTGGAATGATGATCGGCCACGATGGATTCGCGCAAATTAAATTATTCGGAGAAGAAACCAAGAGTTTAAACTCATATTGGCGGGGGATTATTATTTAGGTTTTCAGCATGTCTAGGGTTCTTGGAGAGGGAGCGATGGCGGAGCTCCCGATCCGGCGCGAATCGGAGTGCATCGTGAGCGCTGTGCGCGACAACAGTGTCACGGTCGTGATCGGCGAGACGGGATCGGGTAAGACGACGCAGCTTTCGCAAATCCTCCACGATGCAGGGTTCACAGCCGACGGCAAATGCATCGCCATCACGCAGCCCCGGCGCGTGGCGGCCGTGTCCGTCGCTCGGCGCGTCGCTCACGAGATGGGAGTGACGCTGGGCGAGGAAGTGGGATACGCCATTCGCTTCGAGAACAGGACGTCGAGCAGGACCTTCATCAAGTATCTCACGGACGGCTGCCTTCTCCGGGAATTCCTAGTCGACATCGAGCTCAGCCAGTACTCGGTGGTGATCTTGGACGAAGCCCACGAGAGAACACTCAACACCGACATCCTTCTCGGCTTGCTCAAGCGCCTGGTTGCCTTGAGAAAGCCCGAGCTTAAGCTGATCGTTACCTCGGCAACTTTAGATGGTCACAAGATCTCCAAGTTCTTCGGTGGCTGCCCCGTTGTCAACATCCCTGGGAAGCTCTTCCCGGTGGAGATCATGTATAGCACCGAGCAGCCAGTGAGCTACGTGGAGTCGGCGGTGGAGACCGCGATAGAGATCCACGCCAAGGAGCCTCCTGGTGATATCCTCGTGTTCATGACGGGCCAGGAGGAGATAGAGAAGGTGATAGTTAAGCTGGAGCACAGGGTCCAGACTCTGGAAGAAGGCTCGTGTATGGACGCACTTGTTCTTCCTCTCCATGCTTCGCTTCCACCGGAGTTTCAGGCCCGGGTTTTCGCCCCGGCTCCTAGCAACTGCCGGAGGATCATCGTTGCTACAAATGTCGCGGAGACGTCTCTCACGGTTGACGGTGTTGTCTACGTGATTGATCCAGGCTTCGTGAAGCAGAGACAGTATAATCCCACCACGGGCATGGACGCTTTGTGCGTCGTTCAGATAAGCAGGGTTCAAGCAACGCAGCGAGCTGGTCGAGCAGGACGGACGTGTCCTGGTAAATGTTACAGGCTCTACTCGAGCTCCAACTTCGAGCAAGACTTTCCGGCCGTGACGGTACCGGAGATTCAGAGGTCGTCGCTAGCTGGGGCGCTCCTCCATCTCAAGTCGCTGGAGATTCCAAACCTCGACGTGCTGAACTTCGAGTACCTGGATGCCCCGTCGGTGGCATCGCTGGAGGATGCTTTGAGGCAGCTATATCTCATTGACGCAATCACCAGCAAAGGCGACGTTACCAGCCTTGGCAAGCGGATGGCTGGGCTTCCGCTGGAACCGTCTCTAGCGAGAGCTTTGATTGCTGCGGAGGATCTCGGATGCCTGGAAGACGCTCTAGTACTGGCTGCGATGCTCTCTTGCGACTCGGTGTTTTACCAAGCTCCAAAGAAGGAGAAGAAAGAACAATCAGCTGTTCACCAGGACTTGCCAACAGGAGACGGTTTTGGCGATCACATTCAGCTGCTACAGATCTATGAGAAGTGGAGAAGGGTGGATTACGACTTCGAGTGGTGCAAAGAGCACGGTTTGCAGATAAGAGCGATGAAGTTCGCGAGGGACATACGGAAGCAGCTCAGCCTGATCATGCAAGGGAAAAGTGACTTCAGGAAGCGGAAAGATCCAGCGTACAAGAACTTACGCAAGGCTTTTGCCGAAGGCTTTGCGAACAGGCTGGCTCATCGGCTTCCCAATCACAACGGGTACCGCACTCTGGCACAAAGCTCTCACCTCGTGCAAGTTCATCCTTCAGCTTGCAAGATGGAAATTGATGCGGACGGACTGCTACCCGAGTGGATTCTTTACCACGAGTTGCTAACAACGACACGGCCGTATATCAAGAAGATTTGCGTCATCGACGGTCGCTGGGCTCAACCGACGCTGGTGAAGCTTCAAGACCTGGACGTCATAAGCTTGAGTGGCAGGCTGCCAGAAGAGTCAAGGACGCATTTGGACGAATCGTCGGAGACTAAGCCCGCAAGTGCCGTCACTCAACCAGCTAACAAAGAGGCGGTGGACGCTGCTCGAGAACGATATATGGCTCGCAAAAAGGCCAGGACCAATCCGGCACGGCTTTCAGCCCGCTGACGTTTTACGAGGTATGAAGGTGTCTTACTTTTTTACTTCTATGCATGTCTTACAGAAATTATGTTCGGTGCTTCTTTCACAGTAAACAAGAAGCAAATATGGTGCTCCTACTCAAGTTCATCCATTCTGATTTTGGCGCTTCCGGATAGCTCGTTTTATTTTCAAGGTGTGCTTAGTTGTTTCACAGTGGGGTGTTTGAGCTCATTCAATTCACAGTGCTGAGGCTTCGGGGGTCCGGTGTTTGCACCGCAGTGAAGGTAATTTATAATCGTGTGCTTTTTGAGGCTCTTGCTGTTGTCAGAAACGCTCTGCCGAGCATTTTTGAGGCCTTGGAGTTGTTTATGAATTTTTCTCCTCTATTGTGGCCTTTGAAGCGCTTCCAAAAGGTTGGAATCTCGTGTTTCATTGGTGTCTAATGCTTATTCCTGACAGGAAGCGTTCTCATTCTTTCTTTATGATTATCTCGTCTGGAATCAAATAACAATATACATAGCACCAACACCACCACCTTGTCATTTTTGAGGAGCCATAAAACCACAATGCAACTGGAAAATCAATGTCATCATCATGGAAAGGCAGGCTTTCCTCGCGAAAGGCTTAACTTGAAAAATTAATGAACGAAAACCTCCAATAGTGCCAATCGAAAACCAGCCTCACGTTGCCTTCTTTTTGAGCTGCCATGTTTGTGGTGTGCTTCTCGGTTGATCTAGTGAGTTGCATTGATGGCGAAGTCAGACTGCCGTACACTTTCAGCTTTGAAAGGCAGTGATTGTGTGATTGTGATTGTGTGCCTCTCTGTGTGTGTGTGCATCTCCAGAACTTCCAGAAAGAACATGGAATGAAAAGCTTAACATCTAGAAAGCACCTAAAATAGTCGTATAAAAGGTTCATTATACTCTAATCTTATTGTACGCCTTTGGAGAATTCTACACAAATGTTCAACATTTCCAAGAGAAGGATGAAGATTCCCACAGGGGAAACTCTAGGCTGTAATCTCTACAACAAAAACGGAGGGAGTGTGTCTAGTAAGTGGTGCAAACAACACTCTACTCATATCTCCAGCAAGAATAAGTTGAAAGGTTCCTTATCATGAGTATGTAAAGTTCTTTACCCCGTCATGAAATTTCATGATCTGGATTCAAAACCATGTGATAATGATTGCTCCCCATGCAACTGATTGCATGGAAATGCATGGTTACATATGCTAAATCATACATAAGCCTTGGAGCTCCAAGAAAAGATTATGCATCGGGCAATTGCAGATTCCAACTCCAGGTACGGACCAACTAAAGGATGGTGGAAACAACTGCAAGAATGGACAATAAGCCTCAAACTGGAGTTAAAAGTCTGATCATATCCTGACATAGATAAATGGTTGTAGCCTTGCTCAACATCAAAGCCACTGTAAAAACTAGTGCACCTGAATCACAATTCTCCCTAGAGCACTTCATTTGGCTACGCATATACTATTGTAAATTGCTGGACATGTGAAGTGCACATACACGTGTCCACCTGTCCAGTTCTATTGGCTGGAAAGCTTATGGTCCATTTTCCATGGTTATCGGTCAAGGATCCATTCACCATTTCTTAAAGTCAATTCTGGTCTTTCGAGTATTTCAATGAGATTGACATTGCTTTTGTGCTGTTCCAGGAGAAGGGAGATCTTGATCATGAGCTGCTATCATCTAGTGCACAAGCTTCAAAATCCAATAGCAATAAGGCAGCTCCTGGTAAATCAATCTCAAATTTTTGTGTAGTCTACCATACAGTCTCGCTGCAAAACCGTGTACATGGGATCAGTAAGAACTTAAAGGGCGAGAGGTGAGAAAGCAGGGTTCTTTAAGATCATGGCAAGTTTCTAAGATCTTGGAGTTCCTCCCAGGTTGCTTTGCTGCTGGACTGCACGTCCTGGTGTGGAGCTGGCCCAGGAGGGGGACCCCCCTGCCATAAAAGGCGCTCTTGAGGCTGGAAAGCCGGTGGGAGAATTTAATCCGTATCTTAAGCAAGAACACTATCTCTGTTAAATTCTTGGTGCGAACTGACGGCTGCGTTGATGTGGGAGTTTTGTTCGATTAAACGTTCCTTTGCTTGCTTTGATCCAGATTGGTTCCAACTACCCAGACTGTTCCTGGCTACTTGCAGAGTCCGAAAGTGGGGGACTGTGCTGTGGAGAGTTTGCAAGAAACTTTGTGGCACTCAATTATATGTCCAAGTTTGATTGATGCCACCTGGATTTTATTTTATCAGATCTTCCATAAAAATCATCTGTAAAGATGAGAATGCTTGCAAACACCAACAATAATGCAAGAAGCATGACTAATGGCCACTATTTGGTAGTATATGCTAACCAATGGATGGATGAATTTCTATGTAAGCCAGAATATTTATTTTATGCTACTTTTCTAGACATGTGGTTTGTTGCAACTTTTGCATCTAATATTAACCCAAGAAAAGAAGTTGCACTTTTCAAGTGGATACAGTAAATAAAATATTCACAGCCGGGGTCCTTTGAATGCAAGACTACAAATTGTATTTCATGACTGCCATATACATACAGATTGCCGAGGCTTGCTCAAGCTTGTTTTTGCCACCGTGATTTGGGGACATGGTAATGATGACTTCTGCAAAGATTTTGATCTACATTGAGATGTCCATGACACCAAAAACCCTATAAATACAAGACGTGCTAAGTCATCTTTTTTCTACAATCTTACTTGCAAGAAAGCCTGATACTCACAAAAAGGCTCACATGGAGCCTCCACCTGGTAAAGACCATCATGAGGCACTATTACCTCCTCATGTTGTGAGCTTGTTGCTTGGAGTGTCCTCCTGGTGGAAACTGTCACATAACACCTCCACCTCTACTATATTATGAGGAGTGTCCACCTTGCTATCCTCCTTGCTACATGGAGCCATTACCTTGCTGCTAAGGAGAACTTCCATTGGAGCCTTGTCCTTTACCTCATGTGGAAAGCTTGAAGTGAAGACCTCAATATTCCACTTTCATGTGTCAAATTTAGATGTCATTAAGAGGATCCTCCAATTCCTCATGTAGAGGGTCTAGTGTAGCCTTATTGTGTGAAGCTTCATTTGTGAGCTTCACTTGATGAAGAGGCTCCTCCTCCATAAGGTCGCTTGGAGCCTTTTCCACCACCATCACTTCACATTTGTCCTAGGACACTCCTCCTTTACTATCTTATTTTTATCTATGACATTGTGTTTGACTACCATCTCACATTTGTCTATAACTTCACACCACACAAATGTAAAATTGCACCCCAGGATCCTTAATAGTGCCCTTGGAAAGAGAAAAAAACTGAAAACAAGTAAAGGATATCTAATATTATTCATTATATGTTGTATACATCCGTAATGACATAAACATTGACTAGTGCATCAGGATCTAGCATATGATCTCTATGGCAGTAGGATCCTCCACTGCCACTCCCTTTTCACGTTCATCTTCCATCTGTGCTGCAAACTCTATTTCACTTTCACCCACGGAAAATTTTCATTGCACACAATTATGTTTAGATTGCTCTTATAACAATAAAAACATAATTATATGCATAATAATTTTGTGTGCATTTGAAAACAAAAGAATTTATGTGTAATAAAAGATGCAATCAATATTGGTATATATTGCACATATTGCAGAAGATAATATTCTAAAAGGTTTAAATTCTTTTCTAGTTAAATTCTTTTCAAAATAGTACAAAATATCCTTTTTATAATAACAAAGAAGAAAATAACACTATAAATATAGCATATAAGAAAAACAATTATGGCTTTAAGTATTATATTTTTGTTTTTCTTCTTTTTTAAATTTGTTTATGCAGCTGAAATTGGTTTTATACCTGGAGATACACATCTTGTACTTGCAAATACTACAGAGAGAATTATTTCATTTTTACTCTTAATGGTAAATAGAGCAATTCCACCTAGTACTACTATGCCATTAGGCCAAGGCATATTTGGTACTATTATTATTGAAGATGATATATATGGTAATATAACTGTTATTATGCAGATATGGCTTTTTAGTGTTGAAAGAGGGAACGGCTATAGATATTGTTCTACAAACCCTTCTGGTGAAGATAGAAACACTACTATAGTAAGGCATGAATTAGTTAATTTAATAATACAAAATCATTCCACTCTTGTAAATCTTGGATCTAGATTTATTGCTTTGACATCAGGAATATATGGTATTTATTACATAATTAGGAATATACCACCTGATGGAGGATCTAGACAAATTTTATCATTTAAAGCTATTGGTTCAAACCATTGTCAAATTTATTCAGATAAATTATTTAGTTCTACTATTTATAATGTTCTATTACCATATCATTTTATAATCTCTCAAAATAGAAAAGCATACCTTTATTTACATCCTAACTGTAAATTAGAGCTTTATATATATAATGAGGTAAAGTGGTCTGTATTAAAAAATAATAAAAATTGTTATCTTATTTTACAATCTGATGGAAATTTAGTTTTTTATTCTGAAGATAAAAAAGCTTTATGGTCACCAAATAAATATTGTAATTCCCAACCTAATTGTGTAATGAATACCTATCTTTCCTTACAAAGTGATTGCAACTTAGTTTTATATAAAAATGTTCAAGTTAGATTTTCTAAAGTTATAAATGTTAATCCTATTTGGGCAACTAATACTTTTTGTTAGTACTTAAATTATTTAATAGTTCTATTCACACTGATACTTACCTTTCTTTCATTTAATTTTTCTATAGATATTTATAGATTTCTAGATATTTTAAATGATGTTGAAGTTTTAATTATACTGTTGATGACATTTGTGTTTTTTTACATTTAATACTAATAGTACTGAAATAGTTAGTATGACTGATATTAACTAACATTTTCACGAGGGCTCCAGACACTTCTATAGTTGTTAATGCCTCGAGAGTTTAGAAGTTCTAACATCTTGGGAGCACAAAGTTCTAACATCTTGGGAGAAATAGCACACCTTGGTGTTTTATATTGGCCTGGATTCGCTCCCATTTTCACAGCTTCTTACGTGATTTCTCAAACGTTCCTTGCTTCACAATCACCTCCAGTCAATCAATGACTCCATCAATCCTCTTACCCACATCTACTTCATTGAGAGACATGTCAATGACTGAGGAGCACCTCTCTAGAATTTCTTTCTTTTTGGAATGATGTGGCGGGAGAGCTGATAAGTTGCCATAGCTCGTGAAGTTTGTCACCTCAACGCCCGCTTCCCACGAAACCTTGCTCACCACGTTTTGAAGCTCTTGCTCATCTTGAAACCGTCTCATTGTGAACGCTCAGTACTGCCTTCCTGCGATAGCTAAAAGCCAGACGAGGAACTTCATGAAAAAAGCTATCGACTTTTACCACGTCCCCGATTCTATATCGATACAAGCCTGTGAAAGTCGTCTCTCAGAATCACTTTGATATAAAAAGTAAAAAACAAAGATTAACCTGCGAAGTTTGTGATGACCACCTCGTACTGCTCTCCAACTTGGACTTCATGCAAACCAAGTATATTATCACATGAAGTCGAATCCACAGGGAGAAACTCGTAGTAGAGTGCTGTTGGCACCATTGTATAGACAACACGCTCCGGATGGCATCGAGGATCAGCATTGATCCCAAGCGCTCCCTCAGACGAGAAGTAGTCCAGTCCAACTATCGGAACTTGGTCTCCAACATAATCTCTCAAAGATGGAACGTAGAGTTTCATCGACCCCGTCACCACAGTCGACACGAACTTTGCCCTGGGAAACAGCAGCGGCACAATTCCAGACCACGAATCCCTGCTGCAAATCTCGGAGATAACCTCGGCCTCAACAGGGTCGCCACCTTTGATGCCATCGAAAACTGGAGAAGCTAGGAATGCCTGCCTGAGATTTGGGCTTGTCACCTTCCCCTCGCACAAGCTCCCAGCTCGTATGTCGCTGCAAATCTCTCTCCACTCGGCCCGGAGCATCCGGATTGCCTCGCAGATGGTGTAGGAGAAGATGGAGATGATCTGCTCCACTTTGCCTCTTTGGAGCAGAGCACACAGCCAGTGGCAGTACGTGAGCTCCCGCCAGTCGCTTCCAGCGACAAGAACCTCGTACGGAGTCGTGTACTTGCTCGACGTGGCCTTGAATCGCTCGCCCTTCAAGGCGTATGTACTTGCGGCAGACACCAGAAGCCCGGACTTGGTCTCGACTTGATCCATGCAGTAGAAGAAGCCAAGAATTATGCCATTGTCGGATGGAAAACACCTAAAGGGAAAGTAACAAGCACTGAGAGATCCAGCCAATCGTCAGTCACCTTGTTCTGTAAGCATTGGCGATTTCGGAAGCTCTGCCCGATGCAGCAGCATTCTCCGCAGTGAGTGGAATGATCTTACCGTTGGCAGAAG